GAATTGACGTGAAGGGGACCGTTCTCTCTCTCTCTCTCTCTCTCTCTTTCTCTCTCTCTCTCTCTCTCTCTCTCTCTCTCTCTCTCTCTCTCTCTCTCTCTCTCTCTGTGGGCCTGTGTTTTTTTTCTTTTTTTTTTTAATCGCGCACAGGGTGCAACTCCCTCAGCGCGCGCACCGCGCACAGCGGACCGCACTGGGTACTGCGCACAGCGCACGGCGCACAGTGCGCGCGCTGTCGTTCCAGCGCAAAGCGCAGTGCGCACCGCCCCGCACCGCACTGCGCACTGGTGCACCGCAACTATGGTTTTTATGTCTGTGACAGATAACGTTTCAAATGTACTGCCGTTTTTTGTCGGGGGTTTGGGCCGCTCCTCAGCAGACTGTCGAGGTTCAACTTCCTGATGAGTTGGTGGAAGTCCATCGACACAGCCTGGCACAGTCATGCTTTTTTTATGTGGAACTGTGCTTAGCGACCATGTCAACACAAACACAGTAAGCCAGTAGAAAGCCCTTGGGCAGTCTGGTAGGAGTGTCACCACTCGAAAGCCCTACAGGTTCCACTGGCTTAGGCAAGCACACCAATGTCCATGACTCTCTCTCTCTCTCTCTCTCTCTCTCTCTCTCTCTCTCTCTCTCTCTCTCTCTCTCTCTCTCTTTTGTATAAAGCTAAGCCGTATTTTTCTTTCAATTTCACCTCTCACTACCTGCCTACCGCTACTACTCAGCCTATTCAGGGGACCCCTGCAAGCCAGCTACCTCTCACAATCAAGGGGATGCATGTTGGGCCCCGCCCTAATCAGTTGTGGTCAGGGAGTAGGGTGGGGCCGCCGTTGTGGGGGAACAGCTAATGCAAAGTCCGAGCATTTTGCCAGTGGCCGCACCTCCCATCTACTGCCCCCGCCCCCAGCAAGTAACAGCAGTGTCTGTGGCCAGCACTCACACACCACACACAACCCCACACCCACCCACACAGACAATTAATCCTGCATTGACAGTGCATCAAAGAACAGACTAGGTACGTTTCTGTCTCTAGCTTAGCAGTAGTAAATGAAAATTGAGCTTTCTGCTGGAATCCACCCCTTCCTAATATCCCATTTGATTGTCGTTCGCCTCGATGACCTCTGGCACAAAATTTGAAAAGCAGCAGTGCCTACGTGTGAATATCCTGTGTACCCCTGTGCCCAAGCAGAAAGCTGCTGGCCAGCCCAGACCACAATCTACTAATACCTAGAGGAAAAAGCGGTCCCCATAAGACGCTCCCAACGGGCCCAGCAAAATTTGGTGCCACGTTGAGTTGTCGCACGAGGTGTTTCCAGGTTGTCATTTTCTTCAGGGTGCATCCCATTTTTGGGTCGTTTCTCGGCGTGGATTTTGCGAGTTGGAATCGTAGTTGGTGCCCTGGGCCGCATGGACTTTTGTTTCCTGCGGCACGTACACCCACGTGACCACACGTGACGACAAGGCCTGGCTCAGGCGGTATAAAAGAACAAGGAAAACTGTATATGGAGCAATCTTCAGTCCGGATATGACTACAAATGAAAGACAAAAAGCCGTATAAGAAAAGAAAGGAAAAATGTATGTATCTGGAACACCCTTCACTCCAGACACAGCTCCGAACGAAAGACTACGAACAAAAGAGAAAACAATGTATGTCGCACAAATTTCAGTCCGCAAACAGCTCCAAACAAAAGACTATAAACAAAAGAGAAAAAAATGTATATGGGACAACTTTCAGTCCGGATACAGCTCCAAAATGAAAGAGTACATACGAAGGAGAAAAATAAACTGTATTTGGCAACAATTTCAATCCACGTACACCTCCAAGAAACTATACGCTGCTTTTTCAGCCTGCATGGCTGGAAAACTCTCTCTCTCTCTCTCTCTCWCACACACACACACACACACACACACACACACACACACAAACAAAGAAAAGTGTAGTATATTTCCATGTTCTACCGGAAGATCCTTTCGATTTGGCTCATCATATCGATGGAAGTCGCGTGAGGCAGCCGAGAGTTCGAAGACTTACCTGTTCTCTCTCTCTCTCTCTCTCTCTCTCTCTCTCTCTCTCTCTCTCTCTCTCTCTCTCTCTCTCTCTCTCTCTCTGTG